TCATCACCAGATGTGGCCCTTTGATCTTTGACCGGAACCTTGAGCTGAAATAAACCTCTATTCTTTGTAACTCACTCAGTCTATGGTACTGTGGTATTAGCAACAGAAAACAGACTAGGACAACTCTATGGCTTGTGTTTCTGAGCTGTCTGCTCAAGACTTAAACAATTTACTAGGAAAGGATTTTTCGCCCTGAGAAATGTCAATCTGCTCTTCAGTGATTTATTATGTTGGCATCACTAAGCCCTATGCTTTATGTAACAACTTATCTATATAGCAGAAGCCTGAAATAGAGCTTTACATGCACTGACATATTTAATGAACAATCAGATGTGAAGTCATGAACAGGAGCACCTCACTTATCCAGAGGGAAGACTTGGTAGCTCCAAGCATCTGTAAACTGAAGGCCACCGGAACGCACAGGTGTCACAAAGCCCATGATTTTCTTTGAAGCAATCTCCTCAACCACTTCAGAATCTCAGCCAGTTAAAAAAAAAAAAAAAGCAAACTAAAAGCAAGAAATACACAAGCAGAAATGCACTGGCAGCAAGAATGGATGAGGTAAGAATAAAAATGTACAGGATCTGCAGGCATTTAGGATCAGTGTGTCTGAAGAGGGTGTGTACATGTGTATGTCAAACATACAATCAAATGTAACTAGTACATAATAAATAAGTTAATTATAGCACTTATTAATCACAAAGGCTTATTCAGCAACAAAACAGTTTTAAATAATGTACAGATTCCTTCATTTATAAAGATAGGGAAAGACAAATTTTAGAAACTGCTTGCAGCAATGGGAGGGGAAGTAAATAGAATTAAGATGTGTTATGTAAGGCATGGACTCCCCACGATGTAACCACCAAGTACTGAAGACATGCACAATAAAAACTATTAAAGCAGAATAGGTACTTTTAAGGATCCATACAAATAAACTTCCTGTAACTCCTTTTTTTTTTTTTTTTGTACTGAACTCAGGACCTTGCGCTTCAGGAAAAATATATTGTAACAGTCACACTGTGTTACAGACAGCAGGTTCAGAAGTAACTGCCCTAAAATGGGTGCCTCTTCTACAAGACGCAGGGTACAGTATATCTAAATGAATACGCAGTATATTTAAATTAAGTCATTTAAATCTGCAATCGAACTCAGGACCTTGCGCTTGCCAGGCAGGCTCTTATGCTGCTAAGCTATATTCCTGGCCTGGAATAAACTTCCTTCACGTGTACAATTCTGAATGAATTACTGTTGGTAAAGCCAAACATATAAGAAGTGTGACTGCTTTCATTTGGCTAACTTTTAAGACAAATAATCTTAAAATGAATTAAAAAGATTATTAAACATGACTGGCTATTGAGTCTCAGATTTACTACACAGCAAGATACAAATTTGGAGCATAAAATAGTTCCAGATTCATCTGAAATTAACTTCTATATGTTAATTACCTTTTTTGAAATCTTGTTTTAAATTTAACTTTGCCTTTTTAAAATACATCAGTAAAATGCAATATTCTGTGGAACAATGATAGTCCACTTTAAAGTCGTGTCACACAGGAGCTCTCGCTTCCTCTTCTCAGACCCTCGGCTCGCTTAAACCAACATCTGGGGCTACGGCCCCATCTAGTGGCTGCACAAATCACCAACGCCTCCAGTTTATTTCCTTGTCCTGTGCTTTAGAAATCACCATGGCACTTATTGAATAGAAAATAGTGATGCTTCTAAACAGCAATGCCAAATTTTCTTATGAAATGCAAATTTAAATTATTTAATGTTCAATGCAATTCTTAAAGTGGGAAAATCCTTGTAGACAGTATTTATATAAAGTGCAGATTTAAATGACTTAATTTAAATATACTGCATATTCATTTAAATATATGCTTTTTATTAAAAGCATGTGAACCTGTACCCTGCATCTTGTAGAAGAGACACCCATCTTAGGGCAGTTAGTACTGAACCTGCTGTCCATAACACAGTGTGACTGTTACAACGTATTTTTCCTCCTTTTTAACACACCTTCACTTATTATTGAGTCTTAACACAGTACCAGCATTTCGGCACATCTTCAAGTTATTATCTAAACTGCACATCAGTGAAAACATATTTCATTTTACATTTAAAAGGATACTTCTCAGTATTTTGCTAAATTCCTTGCTGATATCTATGTGTCTCTTTCACATTCCTCTAAATATGCTTAAATTACCCAGTCCTGAATAAACAACTGATCAAGTACTAGTAAAGCACAGAGAGAGCTAGTGTTAAAGCCAGAATTAGTGTGACTTTCCATAGAAAGTTCTCGCTGCTGCCTTCCCCCTCCTCCCACAGCGTGTGTGGTTTTCATAAGTCAGCTGCTATTATCCCAAATGCCGCAGTAATGATTGTTGGTCACACACAAGTACCTTACTCAATATGCCTGAAGCAAGGGAAGGTTAAGAAGATTTTTATTAAAAGCATGTGAACCAACCTGAATTACTATAGAACCAGTGTTCATTACATTCTGAACACCAAGTTATGAAATCTTCTAAATATTTATAAATTAGAAGCCAGCACAAGCTCACTTTGGGCCAGTTACAGCAATTAACCTAGTTTTAGTTCTTTTTTTTTCCTCTTTAAAAGTAACGTTACTGATTGATGGTTCAGGAGACTCTGCCTACACAGGCTACAGCCATCTGTTGCTATCCTGGAGCACTGGTTCCTGCCCCTCACTGAAAATATACAAATCTGCAGATATGCAAGGCCCTCATATGAAATGGCATTGATGTATAACCTATGCACGTCTTCTTATATATTTTGGATCATCTCTGTATTAGTTATATAACTAATACAAAGTCAATGCTAGATAAACAGGTGTTGTGCTGTATTATTTATGGAATAACACACAAAAAATCCACGTATGTTCAGTGCACGTGCAACTTTTTTCCCACAAAATAGTTTCTATCCAAGAGTGGTTGAATCCGCAGAGGCAGAACCTGCAGATATGGAGATGACAAGTTCTCTGCTAAACCGACAAATGGATTTGATGCATCTTGGTTTGGGGCAGGAATTTAACAAGGCTATTTGGAGGTAGGTGTGAGACAGACAGATGTGAGTGGGAAGTAAGACAGTTCAGTGGTCGCTTAGCTATTAAAGAATTAAGATCCACCTGGATGCCGGTCTGCAGATTATGTCTCAGGGGTTCTTCCTTGAACCTATTTTATTCAGTAACCCAACCATTGATTGGCAAAGATGGAGGAGCTGAAGAAGAGAGCTACTTTAGGAAAAATAAGGTGGGAGGAGAGAGGTTTAAGATCATTTCCATTTATTAGAATAATGGGCCAAACCAATGCAATGGGTATAGAATAACTATTTCCCAGACTGGAAAAAGAGTGTGCAACCTGCAGAATGCTGATCCTCTCTTCTATCTCCAATCAGTGCCTAAAACTTGTAACACCATGGCATTAAAGCCCTCTGTAGTACCTGATGAAGAATCTCCCTCCTTTCACTCTTCTCCATGTGAGTAAGTAAAATACAGGTGTCTGTGTCAAAATGAGGCCAATATGTATTCCAGAAAGCTCTTGGAGAACAGAATAACACAAAATATGTGATGATTCACTAAAGACAGATCATTCTTCTAATTAGAAATGATCCTATAAAAGAAGTCAGTAATATGGCCTGATCGCACTTCTTGCTCTGATTTGTGCTAAGTCCTGATGAGATGCAGCACACTTATTTGACTTCCACGAATGAGTAAAGATGCTCATTCACTGATTTAATGATACAAAAGTTGATTTACAAACAGTACCCAGAAACAGATGGAAACCTCTCATGGAGAAGCTCAAAATCAGGGATGCGGACTTGGAAAGGACAACTTAAAACATGTGTTCAGTCAACCACCTTAGAAACAGTGTAACACGCTAGATGAACACATGTAAACTCCGGATTCTCTAATGCTTTCCTGACTTTGGGTAAGTCTCTTATGCCACAATTTCATTACAAAACAATGATGCCCTGCTTCAAGGTTTGGAGTCCTGGGCCTGCAGTGCAGCTACACATTTCATCTGACATATAACACAGCTAAGTGAATGACACAGAAGGCCAACTTAAATGATTCTGCTTCCTGAGCTTGGAAAATGGTTTGCATCATGTGGTTGTTCTGTTTTCGATGGGAGGCCTATTTAGATGCCCACATGGGAATCTGTTCCACTTGATGCTTCCAGGTAGGGGCAGGTACTGAAGTCTGACTGCTGTCCAGTACAGGCATGGTACCAGGGTGCTTGCCGTGTGGCAGGTTCTACCAGGAGACTGTAGGAACACATTTCCCTCTTCTACCCGGTCTTTGAGTGCAACCCTCTGATCTGCAGTCACTCTCCTAGGGGATGCTGGCTCAGGAGTATAAAAGGCAGAGAACGGGTGGGCAGGGGCTAAGCGACAACTCATTAGCTCTTTTCCTAGGTGAGTGGGTGAGTTGGGGGACAACAGAGGGATGGTGACCAAGTCATGAAATTACTTGTGCTGTCAGTTTTTGTCTCTAAACCATGAAGACTAAAAAATCCTCTCCCTACCCACACCAAAACTGAAAACAAAGCAGTAAGGATAAAATAGAATATGTGGAAATATTTATAAAACTTTTCACAAAGCTCTGTATATGCGAATTTTATTTTGTTTGCTTGTTTACTATTGGAAGGAAATGGACTGAAAGGAGAACAGAACATGATGGAAGTGGGGAGGTGGATAAGATGTAGCTGTAAGAGAAGACAATAATTCTATCCATCTTTTCGCTTACTGTGCCATATGGACATTTTTAAACCCGATAAACTTCATACTAAGACTTTGGCATTTTTTTAATGCAGAGAGAGAAGGACAGACAGGCAGGCAGACAGACAGACACACAGAAACACACACATAGGAATGAAAATGCACTGTGCCCAGAAGGAAGGATTAAATAATTCAGGACAGATGAAAGACAGGCGAGGGCAGCACACTAAGGGCTCCGGAGCAGAGCTGAGACGCCCTGCGGAGCGGTACCTGTGTGTGTCCTCCGGTGAGCCTTCAGGTGAGAACTTTTTGTGTATACTTTGTTGCATCCCTCGAAGTCACATCTGTGGATCCGCCGTTTCCTGGAGTCTGGGGATTCAGACCGTCTCTGGCGTCTTGTGCTCTCAATACTAAATGGTGAAATTGAACTGGAGAAAGGAAAAGTAGAGTTCCACGATGAGAAGCACAGCCCTCCGTTCTGGGTCTAGTGGCTTGAGCTTCACAGACCCATGACCACATTCCCTGCTGCTACTTTCCTGGACTCCTCTTATTTGTTAATCCCCAAAGTCAGGCAGCAGGGCTTATTTCTGGCTGAATAGTCCCAGGGAGAGAAAGACATGCTTAAAACGACAACAACAGAAACAACAACCTAAAACCAAGCGAAAGTAGTGGCAGGTGAGTAAATCCCTCTTATCAAAGGAAAACATCTGGTCGTAGTAAATCAACACCTTCCAGTTTTGAAGTTCAGAATATCCTTTACAGAGACTATTTTAGGAAGCCCTGCTAGACACAAATGAAAGGTTGAATGCATTTAGTAAGTACCAGGAGTAACTGAGTTGTGTAAATTGACAAAGCACACTGCAAAACAAAGTGTGGTCAGGCTGAAAGAAATGACACCAGTATATCAATAACGTGACTCATGACAGGCTATTTCTGTGCAGTAAAACACACCTGACATTTAACTTTTCTCCTTGTGGCTTTTCATGGTGAGGAATAAAGCACACTGTATTTAAAGATTAGCTGTACTACTATTATTAAAGAAAAAGTTTTAGCTATGAAGTTTGGTCCTGACTTGCATGTTGTTTTAATGAGCCAGTAGAAAAACAGGATTAGACTGGAATATTAGGTAACTGATTAAGTACCTAATATTAAGTCTAAGGTACCTTTTGCAAACCTTAATCTCTTTTGATTGAGATAGAAATAAAGATTATGACTCATCTTTTTTTTAGTTAGCCATGAAATTCTTTAAAATTACAGTGAAATATGATAAAAAGTATCTTTACCATAGAAATTTACCACTCTTTATTCTGACATAGTTTGTTTTTCCATGTTAGGATGCTTTTACAATTAGTTTTTATTAATGAATCCTCACTTTAATAAACTAAACACTGTGGACAAATATAAATCTCCCCCTTGTCGTCTACCATTTCCCCGATCCTTTCTCTTCTTCCTAGGGCCAAGCTCTGCTGTTAACTTTCTTTAGAGCTTTCCAATTCTTCTTACTGATGTTACATATCTGCATTTGTAGAAATTCACAGCACTGTCAATTGAATTAATATAAATAACCTCATATTGCTCATATAATTCTGCAAAGTGTTCTATCTACCCTTGCCCTTTTTTTCATTCAACATGAGGCATTTGAAATTTATCTATATGGATAAAATGTGATAGTTTATTTATATGAAGTAGTATATGCTACTTCAATTCTCTGATGCATTTTTTTCATATTTTAACATTTCTAATACCAAGAAGCTTCTTTAACTGGAATAATTTTTTCTTTATCAGCACATATAGTCATGGTGCATTTTACAGCAGGTGACATTTCAACTTAGATCAAAGGTTGGTAAACTTTTTTTCTATAGAGACAGATAGTAAATACTGTATTTCAACTTTGAGGGCCCTAAGGTCTTCTGTCATAACTTATCAACTCTGAAACTGTAGCATCAAAGTGGCTATAGATAATATATAAACAAAGAAGTGTGGTTCCAATAAAACTTTATTTACAAAAACAGTGGGCTGTATTTGGTTCATAGCTGTAGTTTGTGGTCTCCTAATTTTGATGAAGTAAGGTAGTAGTCCAATGAACATACATTCCAGAGTTTAAAAATCCACGTCCTAAGTGACAGAAGCATACAGTATTTCTGATACTATTCTATTCTATTGCTTCAATAAAGTTTTCTAAAATGTTTCCTTCTATACATATACCTTTTAAGTTTTCAGCATATTCTTTCCCTTCTACAAATAACAGATTAGGTATTGAAGCTTTATATTAGGTAAGATCAAATATGAATGGTGTTTGTCCACCTGTATCTCAAACAGACTTATTTGAGATCTATATTAGAGTGAACAAATATATACTATGTATGGCTAAGTGAATTTTCTTAGCCTTGGCATCCATCAATGTAGATTTGTGGTTTTCCACATAACTGATTCCGTCACAGGGACAGGAGTCTACTGTGAAAACAGTGCACAGAGTAATTGGCCTGCCCCACAAAAGAACAGGTTTAATCACTACTCACCATCTGTATTCTGACACTGGGTGTGGGTCCCAGGAGTAAGAAGACTGTGTGCCACCACATGGCAAGAGTGATTCATATGCTGAATGTGTAGTCGTAAAAATAAATAGGAATTTGGCACTGAGGATCTTAAAAAAGGAAGTCATTTATTGTTTATACAATGACATCTTGATTATCAAAACTCTAGAAAAATGATAGGTATTTGTTGCTTCAATTTAAAACTTAATCAGTTGGGCATAGTGCAGCATACCTCTAATTCCAGCACTTAGGAGGCTGAGGCAGGAGGATCTCTGAGTTTGAGGCCAGCCTGGGTTACAAAGTAAGTTTAAGGCCGGCCTGAACTATGTAGCGAGACCCTGTCAAAGAAAAGGTATAATACTGTTTTGTATATTATTTTTTGACATTCATATGTAGAGGTCTAAATGTAACAGTGCATAGACATATAGTTTTGGCTACAGTAGATGTTAGCTGTTTATCTTGCTATGTATCATGTATACAAGAAAAATAAAAAGTGACTTTGAAATTAAAACCTACTAAATATTACATAGACAATAAGGGACCAAGAAGCAAGACTGTGACAAACTCCATCTGTCACTGACTGTACGGAAGGCAAAGAAACAAAAGCAAAGGCCATGGAGTAGCATGAAGTTGATTCAGAGAGAGTTCTGAATTTACATCAGAGGAGGACATGTTAGGTGGTTGCCTCACTGCTGAGACCTCACATCCTGGTTTTCCTCATTCTGAAGTAAAATGTTTTAAGACATCATGAAGAACAGCCACCTAAAGGTATCAGTGCAATAAAAACAACTTCAAAGACACTCTTTAAAAAGGCACGTGCAATGAGCAGCTTCATTCAATAAAGCTAACTCTGAAATTATATTCAGCAGGTAAGCTTTCTTCCATGTCTCCACACTTAAATGGCAGAGAAATCTTCAGGAGATGTGGAGGAACTTTTGTATAATGATGTCATTCAGAACTACTTACTTTATGTCTTTGTAGAAAAGTGGGAAAGTAAGTGGGTGTTTTAGTTACTTTTCTCATTCTCAGACAAAATATCCAACACCCAAAGTTAGAGGAGAAAAGGTTTATTTAGCTCAGAGTTTGTAGAGGTTTCAGTGCTTAAAAGGCTGGCTCCAAGGCAAGGTAGCATGGCAAAGAACAGTTCATGGCAGGCAGAAGACAGAAAAGGCAGAAGACAGAACAAGGGAGGGAGACAAGACTCTTTCTATCCCTTATAGTGCATGCAGGCTACCCACCCTAGGGCAGGTGTAGAACTCACACTCTTAATACCAGCCAGAACTGTCAGACCAAGTAGAGGACTGATTTAGTAATCACACACCTCTGATCCCAGCACCACACACTATAGATCCAGCCACCTATGAAAAGCCCACCCCCTATGACTACATGAAGCATTGGGGAAACATCTAGACACAAACCGTAATAGTAGGGATGAGGAAAAAGGGCCTAAAACTTCACAAGAACACTAAAACCCAAGAAGAGGAGTGGACAGCCCAGTGCCAAGACCAGTTGTTGCTGTACCAGACCACAGCGTATTCCATGGTTGCCAGGTTGGATGACGGCTGGGATGGGGGGTGTTTGGCTGAGGCCCATCCATGACCAAGTCCAGTACCATGACAGTCAATGGACTACTGCCAAGTAATTTCTTACCTCTAGAGCCTAGGGTGGTATAGACATTCAAGAAATGTTTGCTAGGTAGAATGACTAAATGAATTTAGCCAGTTAGTCTTAATTTTTAATTTGATATAGTTAACAGATATTTAATTGGTTAATGAACCCTTACTATGTTCCTTTGATTATGAGTCTTAGTTACTCTCTCTTGTTGCTAAGATACAATACCCAAGGTCTAAAGTTAAAGGAGGAAAGCTTTCATTAGCTCACAGTTTGTAGAGGTTTTGGTCCATAATCAGCTGGCTCCAGGGCAGGGTGGCTTTGCACAGGAGAACAGTTCACGGTACGCAGAAGACAGCAAAAGCAACAACTGATCTTAACAGCATCTTTCTGTCCCTTTTATACTCTATTCAGGCTGCTGGGATTAGGACAGTGCCAATCCAATCAATAAACTGATTGCACACCCTTAATCCCAGTATCACACACTCTAGATTCAGCTCCTCCCCATGACTGCATGAGGCGTTGGGGAGACATCTAGACACAAACCATAACACTCACCCTTATAGCCAGTCCCTCAAGCTTCATATTTTAAATGCTATTAGATATCAGGGTATCTGGGTATTGTTTAAAAGTGTGCATATGGAAGGGTCTCAGTTCTTTCCACTAATTTCAAGAGATGGGTGCTCTAAAACATGGCTTATAATTAAAATTCTCAGTGAGAAGCCACTGTGATAGCTACGTAGGTTGGTAGTAAATTGAAGAGACAGAAGTTCCTTTGATTCTGATAAGCATCTAGGAAAGCAGGACAAGGTGCCACATCTCATTCTGGGGCTACCCATAAATATGGGCAAATAGCAGCAGCAACCTGTCATCACGCTTAAGGTTTTCTGCTCTTTCCTTCCTGTACCCTCTATGCAATATGTCCGCTGCTTACAAGGCACTGACGATGTCCTCAAACACTTTAGTGCTTCAAAAACTGGACTTGTTCTACAAGAACGAAAATGTACAAGAAGCTACTGCCTTTGCCAGCATAGAAGTTTTGCAATAATCCTTGTCATCATCTCAGTATGAGGCAAAGCAGTTGTTGCTATGTTCTCAAGTGTGGTGCTAAATACATCTCTACAATGCAAAGGAGCAGTAACGAAGGCCACGCCCTTCCCCTAGGAAGTCGGGCCAGTCAGAGGAGTACCAATGCCTGTGGGGGCCTCCTGGGCACCACGGGACAATAATTAGATCTAGAGAGAACAAATGAGTGAATCATGACTCCAGCTGCAGAACAGTCC